AGACAGCGGGATGTGAAGATGTCATCCAGGGTTGGTAGCTGGAGCCCGATGATATTCTGGGCAATTTTAATGGTTCTCTGTAGAGCTTTTTTGTCCGCTACAGAGCTGCTCCCAAACCATGCCAGAATGCCATAAGTTAGAACGCTCTCAATGGTGCTACGGTAGTAGGACAGAAGTAAATGCTGTGATAAATTTAACTTCCCAAGCATTCTCAGGAAATACAGCCTCTTCTGTGCCTTCTTTATTAGCATGTTGGCATTTATAGTCCATGAGAGGTCCTCTGAGATGTAAGTACCCAGAAATTTAAAACTACCAACTCTCTCCACTTCCTCACCGTTTATGTACAGTTTATTACCAGCAGATATAAAAAGCTGGGTGCTGCGCAACCAACCAACCACGATGGAGGAAGTGGTCACGCTATTGGAAGTCTACACCCGAGCAGAAAAGAAAGGAAATTGGTGGGGAACTGTGAGGGAAGAGAAACTGAAGAACAAAGACAGGATGGCGTACCAGGCATCAGCCACGATACGACCCAAAATCAGGAACCCAATGTCTTTGGGCAATACGAGACCAGCGCCAATTAATCCAGTGGGCTCCAAGTTTGTGCGACCATGATGGTGGGCCCAGATCACACAGCACAGAGAACTGGACCAGCACCAATCGCGAAAAAAGAATGGAAAAAAAGATTGCTACGGATGTGGCCAAGAGGGGCATTTCAGAAGGGATTGCCCAGTGGAGGACTTTGCCATTGACACTATGTGGCCAAGAGGGGCATTTCAGAAGGGATTGCCCAGTGGAGGACTTTGCATGGGCATTGACACTCATGGCAGCAGGCAAGGTGGATGGTAAGGAACACCCTGGTTGGGTGGTGATGGTTCAAGTAGGGGGCAGATGGTAAAAGCCCTTGTAGAAATGGGGTGCAGCTGCACACTGATTTGAGATTGTCCCGGCATGGAACATGGAGGACAGATGATGGTGCGATGCATCCAAGGAGATGTGAAACCATGTCCATGGGTAGAAACAGAAGTGACTATACAGGGACAAAGGCGGAAATTGCAAATGGGGGTAATGCCGAACCTAGTCCACGAAGTGTTGTTGGGAAGAGATTGGGAAGTACTCGAATGATTATCAGAGAGGGGAGAACAGATTAATGCAGAAGGGTTGGCAGGAAATAAGAATATCCAAGGCGTAGATAAGAAACAAATTG